GGAATTCATTGTGGAAATGTCTGAAAGGCTCTAGCTGGCTCAGTGTTGCAATGCTACTCCACAGAAGGCATGAGGCACTCAGGAGGGATGTTGGCGGCAGCTGCTCCACCTGCCAATCCTTTTTCTCACTCAATGTTCCCCTTATGGGGATAAAGCCAGATAATGGCTTTTCCTGTCTTTCTCAGAAACATCCAAGTTGATGAGTTTTGTTTTGGTTTTTTTTTTCTTGAGGTAGGATCTCATCTCAAATTAGACTCAAGTGATCCTCCTGCATCAGCCTCCTAAACAGCTGGGACCACAGTTGTGTATCACCATGGCTGGCCAAGCAGATAAATCTTAATGTGGGATTTCAATTTCTACTTTTCTGCTAAGAGGAAAATTGGTAGGGAAGATCTGCCAAGCCATATGTTCAAAATGTTAAGGCTCAGACAACTGATTTCCTTTCGACTAACCTTTTCATAAACTATTCCCACAAATTTCAGCCTCTCAGAACATTCACGACACAGTTTGGTATGGGTTCACTCTTCCTCACAAACAAGATATCTATATGACCACAATTTTCCCAAGTATGATACTTTGAACATTTACTTTTTTATCTTTATTGGCTTGTGAGCTTCATTAGGGCACAGACTTTATTATTTGACTTCTATTTCTAGAGCCTGGCACAGTGCCTGGCAAACATAGTAATTCATCCAATGTCTGGTGAGTGACTGCTTACATGCAAATGCCAGACAAGGAGGAAAAACATCTGGGCTCAGTGAGCAAGAAGGTTGGTAAATATTTGGTGCTTTTTCTACATTAACTACATGATATCTCCACAATCTCCCACAAACATTAGTTTTTATAACATTTATCATAGTGAGCATCCTATTATGATTTTTCTAGTTCCTTGAAAGCAGGAACTGGGTATTTTCAATTATTTTACCTATTCCCTCACCCAATCAATAAATGACTGAATACCTAAATGAATGAATGATGCACAACTGATTCACAACAATGAATGCTTTTGACCAAACTATATTACAATCTCAGGTCCATTAAAATCTTCTCACAAGCACAAGTCTTCCTTCTTTTTTCATTTTTTTTTCCTTTCTCCCAGTACTGGGGATTAAACTCAGGGCCTCATACATGATAGGCAAGTGCTCTACCACTAAGCTACACCTCAAGCCCCTTTATTTTTTTATTTTATTTTGAGACAGCATCCTGGTAAGTTTTCCAACCTGGTTTCAAACTTGCAATCCTCCTGACTCAGCCTCCTGAGTAGCTGAGATTATAGGTGTGTCCCATTGCATCCACCCAAAGTCTGTTATAGAAAGTTCAGTCCTTAGATTGAGTGTGGTGGAAATGTAGAAAAAGCACCAACTATAATCCTAGCTACTCAGTAGACTGAGACAGGAGTATCGCAAGTTTGAGGCCAACCTCAGCAATTTCCTGTCTCAAAATGAAAAATAAAAAGCTTCAATCCCTAATACCAAAAGACGAAGAAGGAGGAGGAGGAGGAGGAGGAGGAGGAGGAGAGGAAGGAAGGAAGGAAGGGAGGGAGGGAGGAAGGAAGGAAGGAAGGAAGGAAAGGAAGGGAGGGAGGGAGGGAAAAGAACAAGACAAAAAAGGTGGAGACAAGTTCAGTCCTTAGAAAAACACTGGGCATAAATTCGTGTTGGCATATAAACCAATGTTCATATAACACCACCAATATCAAGTGCCATAGAAAACAAATAACATTGAGGCAGATGCAAAACTGGGAAAGTGTGAACTACAGAAACAAAATAAAACTGTGCCCAGCTCTCCAAAACGGAGCTGGGCACAGTGAAAGCTGGGCACAGTGGTGCACACCTGTAATCCCAGAGACTGAGGCAGGAAGATTGAGAGTTTGAGGCCAGTCTCAGCAACTTAGTGAAGCTCTAAGCAACTTAGTGATACCCTGTCTTAAAATATAAAATATAAAGGGCTAGGGATGTGGCTCAGTGGTTAAGCATCTCTGGGTTCAACCCCTAGTACTCTCTCCAAAAAAAGTAGAAAGTCCAAAACAGAGGAGATAAGGTGGTTTGCAGAATGCAGAAGTACCTAAAACTTGTGACTAATTTGGTGAAAATTAACCATGTCAATAAAAGAGATTGCACTGACATCAATGACATGGATCAATTCTGAGTTGCCCGGCATATAGAGGCCAGGGATCTATGCAGGAAATGTGAGAGAAGAAATTTCTATCATGCATAGTTATACATAGTGGCATGTGGTTTGAGAGCAGAGATCAACAGTGGGTAGAGGAAAGCTTTGATTCAGAGGGCAGGGTTTCTCTCTGCTGCAGGGTTTCCTTATAATTACCAATTAGGGTCATAGCTCTGTTTCCTGTGGCAGTTTTTTTCTACCACAGAGAATGAGGTCAGAGCCCTAACCACATAGATCTATAATGCATCTAGGTGATGAAGAATATCTTCAAATATACTTGGATCATTCCCAGGAGATAGCTGGATACATGTGTGGTATTCTTAGCCTCAGTAGAAAGAGTTTCTCAAAGGAATTAAAGTGTATTCTGACATTAGTTTTTAAATCTCCATTTACATCCTTACATGATGCTAACATTTATATGACTCTTAACAAAAGAGACTGAATATTACTGGATTTAGCAACCTACAGGATGGAGTAGGTCAAACAGGGCCCCACAGACTCTGAAGTTACCAATCACACCATTATTCAGTAGCACTAAGTGTGATACTATATGTGCACATTTAACAAAATTTATTATATACATGAAAGAATTACTTAGAGAATTTTCACCATTCAAGATTAACAAATCACTATTATTTAGATGATGTAAATTTTTTTCAGAGAAATTAAAAGTATGCATTCAATTTCACAGTTTAAATTTACTAAAGGAAATAGATGTTGGGGCTGAGGTTGTGGCTCAGTGGTAGAGTGCTCACCAAGCATGCATGAGGCACTGGCGTTCAGCACCACATAAAAATAAAATAAAGATATTGTGTCCCCCTAAAACTAAAAAGTAAATATTAAAAAAAGAAGGGAATAGATGTATATTAGTCTAAAGAGGGGGTGGAGTAAAGTTTACAGGATGAGTAGAAAAATCAAATATCAGAGAGGGAAAAGAGGCATTATTGCATTATTCTCAAGATGAATTAATTATAAAGTTAACTGGAGGTTTTATGAAGACTCCATTACCACCACAGAAAGAACTCTACTGCTCCCCTTTTCCCTTGTTTTGCAAAAATTGGAGATCAGGGAAAGTAAGAAAAGACAGTCAATTTTCTTGGTTTACATGGTTCTTCAGCTAAAAGGTTTAGAAATGAAAATGAGCAGAAAGCAGACTAGGACTGGCTTTAGGTGGTTCCTCCTCTTAGTGGGTCCAAATACCTGGGAGCTGCATTAAAATAAAAACAGGAAACAGGGAGAGGCATGAGAGGACCAATGGAGCTTCTGCCATGATTGGTGAATGAGTCAGACCTATGCAACTAAGGACCAAGGGAGGCCCAAAGACAGAGAAAGAGAAAAAAGGAACCAGGAATACCAGAAGCACTCAAAGAGTTAGGCTTCCTGGCTCTTGTGTTTAAACTCCCAGTCTGTAGCTCTTTGTTAACAATCCCCTTACATGTGTTCAGACAGAAATGATGCAAGGATGAGGAGCCCTACAGTGCAGGCCAGATGCAAGTTCTGCCCGTTACTGAAGGCTGCAAATACATCTCAGCCAAAGGAAAATTCCAGCTTAGTTGGTTAGGCTGGGACAGCATTTCCTCTGTGTCAGGAACAAGGTTGGGGCAGAGGGGCCAGGACTGGGGAAGGTTTTGAGGCAGGTCAGGCTGCAGGGCTTCTTAATTAGAAACAGGAATCAAGGAAAGAGCCTGTGGTGCAGCTGCAGAAAGAAAATCTTATACACAAATTCATGAGACTAGTTACTTCTGGGGAAAAGGCTGGGATGGAGAGCAGGGTGGCCAAAGGCACTTTAGCCTTGTCCTTAATGTTCACATTTAAGAAAAGAATAAGCAGGTAGAGCAGAGGTACAGCACACACTTAGCCTGTGTGAAGCCTTAGATTCAATATGCAGCACCAACCAAGAGAAGAGAATGCATTCATATGTTATATGACTGAAAACTGATTTTAAAAAAAAACTTGAATTTAAGGAAGAAAGTGAGAAAGGGAAAGAAAAGGAGAAGGAGAAAGGAAGGCACAATTAACAGATTAAGGCTTTCATGGATGCTGGGCTAAAAACAACCAACCCAAGAAGGTGGGGTTCCAAAACAAGGGAAAATGGCAAGGGATAAAGGTCTCAAATCAGAGTCGCCTGGGTTACAGGAGAATCGGATGGAAGAGACAACAGAATCGTGAGATAAAACATGTGAGGGGACAATGACCCTTGATTAACCCTAGCCCATCCTGACAAGAGTGAGGCCCCCATAATGGCTCTCACAGAAGAATGCCGGTTCCCTGAACTGGGCCCAGCTCCTCATTCAACCATGTCCTCAGTTATGGAAAAACCTACTGCCCTGTATTCAAGAGATTCAAATGTGGAGTAGGCCTTCCTGTGAACCATCTGCAGTCTCCTGCCCTCTCTCAAACTTTCTACCAATGCTATGCCACCCCACCCCTCTCTTGGCTCAACTGGTTAGCTCCTGAAATAGAAATGGGCACCTCTGCCATAATATTCATGGTTTCCCCGAGGATTTCCCTCGGGAGAATCCAGGGGAGGGTGGAGACCACCTTTTCTGGAAGAAGATGACTTCAGAATCTGTGGTCCTGTCCTATGGGCTCAGGTAAGTGAGCAGGGAAGGTCACCGCCTAGCTTAGCGGGAGGCCAGCAGCCCTTTTGATTTCTACCGGTTCATCCATCCACACCGCACCCACCACCTTTGCGCCCCTAAGGTTCTGTGGACGATTTGCTGTGGGGGTCTCTGAGAAGATGGTGACCAAGAAGTACCCCTTCGGAGATTAGGCGGGAGGCGAGGGGTGGGGGGAGGGGAACTGGGGAGTGGGAGGAGCAGGACAGTTACCTCATTGAAGCCCTCCTGCAGGACGTCCAGTAAGTTCCCACGGGTCAGGCAGGCTAGCATTGTTCCTGCCGGGGGCTCCCCGGGCGGGGTCTCCAGCCGGGCGGCTGTCGCCGCCGCCTCCTCCCTCTGCACACAAAGGCTCTCAGCTCAGCTCATTGGGCTCTCTCTGGAGTCCCGCATGCCACTTACTGGAAACCTAGACCCGAGCCAAACTAGAGGTTTGCACTGGGCATGCTCACGCGGGGGCCTCTGCCGGAGGGGCCCGGCGCCGCCGTGGTTCCTATAGAAACAGCTGGGCGCGCTCTGGATGAAGGGGCTGCAGGCGGGCCGCCCCAGGCCCGGCGTTCGTGCGGGGAGCCCGCGGGCGCGCAGGCGGGCGGGCTAACGTGTGCGTGCGCGCGTCTCTCTCTTTCTTTCTCTCTCTCTCTCTCTCTCTCTCTCACTCACACACACACACACACACACACACACACACACACACGCTCTCACTCCGGGCGGTGGGATGGACGTTTGTGGGTGCGCTGCAAACCCCGACACACACCAGTTTTGCTGGCAGGGGTGCGGGTATCCGCGCGCGCTGTGCGTGCATTCAGTCTTACACATACACCCGCCGACACACAGGCGGGCGTGCCAGTGTGCGCATATGCTTGCAATCACACAAACGCGCACACACCAAGCTTGCAGTTGGTGTGCTGGCTAGAGCGTGCATGCATACACACACACACACACACACACACACACACTGCTGGTTTAAGGCCGCAAGCACCCCCACCACATTCACAAGGTGGGTGGGAAAGGGAATGAATCAGAGCAAACAGCAATCTTTTTTCCATGTGGCAGTACAGTGAGGCTAGGATAAAATAAGAGGAAGCAGAAAGGAGAGGAAGAAAAAAATAAAGAGGGGTTAAAGAACTTTGGGTAGTGATTGTAACATATTTAACAGGACAGTGCTAAACAAATCACAGGATCACAGCAAAAGCATCAGTAAACAAGCATGACCAAGGCTTAACCAAAATGTGTTTCTTCTTTCTTTTAAAGATAAACTGCTAAAATTTAAAACCCAGCCTGGGCTCAGTAATCCCAATGACCGAGGAGGCTGAGGGAGGAGGATACAAGTTCCAGGACAACCTCAGGAATTTAGTGAGGTCCTAAGCAATTTAACAGGAACTTGTTTCAAACTTTAAAATAAAAAGGGGCTGGGACTGTGGCTCAGAGGTAAAGTGCCCCTGGGTTTGATACCCAGTATCCAAAAGAAAGAAAGAAAACCCATACTTATTATTGAGGTTTTTTCAATAAATAGGTTTTAATTAAAATTAAAAAAATCACAAAAACGCCCTGGTGCATTTGAAAGAGCTAAAATCTTCCACAAGGGAAACAGAACTATTCCCCTCTGTTTCTAGGTTATTCAGGCCACAGCCTTGATTATTTATTTTGAAGAACATTAGTCATTTGCAAGTTCAGTGCAAACTTATTTTTATAGAAAAACAGGAAGCTGATTGAATGCCCATCTTACATTCCACCTTACCATCCCAGATAGAGGGGAAAGGTTTACACAGCTTGTGAAGACTTAAAGAGAGGTCTGGGGCTGTAGGTCAGTGGTAGGGCGCCAGCCTCACATGTGTGAGGCACTGGGTTCGTTCCTCAGCACCACATTAAAAAAATAAATAAAGATATTGTGTCCACATACAGCTAACAAATATATATTAAAAAAATATATAAGAGAAATTCAGGGCCAGGCCCTGGGACACAGCTGGTCAGTGACTGGCAGCTCAAGAAGCTAGGACTCAGCTGGGTGTGGTGGTGCACGCCTGTAACCCCAGCTATGTGGGATGGGGAGTTGAGGGGACAGGCAGGAGGATCACAAGTTTGAGGCCAGCCTGGGAAACATTGTCCTAGAATTTAAAAAAAAAAAAAGGCCAGGGATGTAGCCTAGTGGTTAAGTACTTGTCTAGAATGTGAGAGGCCCCAAGTTCAATCTCCAATACTGCCAAGAAAAAAAAAAAAAAAACTCTACACATGATTTTCCAGAATGCCAGATTCCCTCCTCAAACCCCCATAAGTATCTTAGCAAGAACACTCAGTAATGAGTCTTATTCAACCTAATGACTTCCTCTTCAGGTCACTAAGAAAAAAAAAAAAAAATACTGGAGCAGCCAGATTAGCAATATCTTATCTGAATGTCTGTTAAACACAAAAATGTTTCTGGAAAAATACACAGAAGCAGGAAGCATAGAGCCAGCACAGGTGTTGAGCAGCTGCTGTAGGTTAAATGTTGTAGACTCAATTCTGGATAAGACTAGGAAAAGCTGATACCAAATCAAACTGAGCATGAGCTACCATTTATAGTCAGCTGGAGAGTTTTAACTGGCTAGAATTCCCTGCACCATTATGCCAATTTGTGGTGTAATACCATACCTATGTTAATGCAATGAAGACTTTTATAAAAATAAGTATGAAATTTCCAATTCCACAGAATTGCATGCAAAACATTAACATGCATAAAGATGTGAAACAAGCAACCAGTTGGTGGTTTCATAGGTAGAGAATTCTGATTTTAAGAGCCCATCATGCTTTGGACAGAAAATACTCAAGACACTGAGGCTTACTGACAATTATCTATGCCAAGAAATCTCTGTTTTTCAAACTTAAGTTTTGTCAAAGTAAGACCTATTAGCTCAAAGCTTTGGGAGAAGGACTTATTAAGTAACTGAATTTTGGCTCAACTCCTTATTTCACATAAAAAGGAATCAAAGCTAAGAGAGGTGCTCACAGTCACTCTTAGCAAGCCAATATGGGAGCTAAGATCTGAATCAAAGGCCTTGGAGCCTGACCCTGTGCATGGCCTTTCACATCATGCTGGAGAAATTAAGAGAGCATTGTAGTGACTTGATAAAAGATTTATTATAGGGAATATGGTTCAAGGTTGCACTATTCCCTGAAAGTCTGTAACTTTATCATTCACATATTCTAGAACTTTCCGTGAAAATGGAAATGTTCTATATCCACACTGTCTAATACAGTAGCTACTGGGCACATGTAGCTACTGAACACTTGAAATGGGTCTAAGGGCAACTGTGGAACAAAAATTCTTAATGGTATTTAATTTTAATTCATTTAAGTGTAGATAGTCTGATTTCAAAATATTGTTTCATTGTCTCTACACAACTATTGAAATGTTCCAAAAACACATTAATTCACATATAGTCAGCCTTTCACACTTGGAAGAAGCACAAAATCCCGTTGGACCGTATGATGTCTTTTTTTTTTTTTTCTTTCGGAAGATATGTTCACTATACTTATCATGATCTGTCTTAGAAAGTGAACCAAGAACTAAGCATTAGCTCTAAGCAACACTAAGATTTATTATTCCATTATCCCTATGCTCCTCTTGTGATAGCAACACAAGAGTTGGGAAAATAAGTGGGTTAGCTGAAAGAACTAGGATAACTGGGGCAATGATCAACATCATGTAGTCCCTGTATGTGGGAAAACTGCAAGCAGTCTGGTTAGCTGGAACCACTCCCACTGCTGCAGGCCTGTCATTCACTCTGCCTAGGAGAAGCCAAGAATCGCCCCAAACTGCTTTCTGCATATCTCTGCCATGCTATTTGATTTCTGAACTTATATCTGGTCTCCTCAGTCCTGTATTATTTTGGCAATAATGACAAACATTTCCCCCACAAACTAAAAACTACCCAAATATCTAATATAATAGTAAAACAGCAAGTTGAAATTTCACTATGTGCCAAGTCCTATACTAAGCACAAATATGTATATATTTTTTGGGAGGTCACTATTTCCATAATGTGTGTGTGTGTGTGTGTGTGTGTGTCTCTTTCTCTCTCTAAAATATGAAGGACAAGAAGTTTGAAAGCTAAGTAATTTACTCCAGGTGCAATAGCTACTAAATGGTGAAGCCAAATTCCAGGCTTTTAACCATTATATAGTACTTTTATAGGATGCTTGCTACATAAAAAGTACTCAATAAATGAATGAATGAGTAATGAATGAACCAATGTACAGTTACCAAACACATTCATTATCCCTTCTATTAATAAATCCAATAACATGTTTCCCTAAGTATGACTTTAAGCCTTAAACAAAGCTGTCATTTGGTGAAAATATTGCCTGTGACTTCTTTCTGAGTAAAAGATGTGTGAAATTCACACCTATGAGAAATTTAACACATCTATAATGGGCAATCATTCATGACCATAAAGAAGCAGAAAGGCAGTTTCAATAAACAAATAATTAAAATTATCAATGAAAATATATTAAATGACCTTCTGAAACAATTTCTTCATCATTCTTCTGTTTTCTCATGTTAGCTGAATTCCTTGAGAGTAATGTGTTTACAACTTCTATTACATTTACATTCAGAGGTATCAGCAAAGACCTACAAAAAGACTCATACCTGCCAGCAAAGATTATGAATAGTCCTGGCTCCTAAACTGTGTATTTATTTGTTTGTTTATTTATGTATGTCTTGCAGTGCTGGGAATCAAACCTAGGGCCTCTCACATGCTAGGCAAGCACTCTACCGCCGAGCTATACCCCCACCCTAAACTGTTCCCTTTGTCTCCAGACTTTTCCATCTGCCAGTCCACATTCATCTAAATCTTTTTTAGACAATACGTTCTCTTTGCTGCTCTATATCTTCAAACACTCATTTTTCCTAGTATATCAATAAATTCTTTGTGTTCAACTCTTAAGGCCTCCCCCAGAACATTCTGTTCAGGTTTTAGAGCTCCTCACTATCTCACAGTTTCACCGAGCTCATTTTCACCTCCATTCCTCTGCCAGGAATGCCTCACACTCTTTCAGTTACCCAAATCATCGCTATGCCTACCTAGTTCGAGTTTCATTTTTTCCATGAATCTCCTCTGACCACTGGGTTTATTTGCAGTGCTGGAGATCAGACTCAGAGTTTCATACATGATAGGTGAGCAGTCACTATTACTGAGTCACTCTTGATTTTGATCTCTGGTCACTCTTTTTTTTTGGGGGGGGGTACCAGGGATTGAACTCAGGGGCACTCAACCACTGAGCCACATCACCAGCCCTATTTTGGATTTTATTTAGAGACAGAGTCTCACTGAGTTGCTTAGTGCCTCGATTTTGCTGAGGCTGGCTTTGAAGTTGCCATCCTTCTGCCTCAGTCTCCTGGGCC